AACAAATAATCTTATCCTGTGGTTTATCATATAATAACAATAAATTCTGGCCCTGTTCTTTGGTTTCAGCATAGTGTTCCAATTTGCCACATTCTAGCATCTGCTTGAGTTTTGCAAAATATGAAAATAAAATAAAAAATTCATGTCGCAATGATACTCGAGAGTATAGTGCTCAGATGACATTTAAGTTAAGAGCTGAATTAAAATATTTTCTGGAGCTTCAACTGAGAATTCTATAAAGTTCAAAGAAACTTGAGAAGACTTGAGAAACCAGAACCAAGCCAATCAATTTTATGTCCTTAAGCTATGTGAATCCCAACTAAAGCTACATTCATCCAATATCAGCAGCTTGGCCCAGTAATCATTCAGGATTAGCTCTTATCACCTTAATTGTTAGAGCAACCTTAACAGTGGTGAAATCCCTTCCAATTGATGTTGACAGTATATTACTGTTGCCCCATATAAACCATCGATTACCAATTGTGCAGGCGATTTCTTCAAAACTAACCATACTGCTTTTACAATCAGGTTCCAAAAATTGGAGCAAGAGATGATTCTCCATAAATATATTGAATGCTTCTAACAACTTAATAGCCACTTCTCCCGTTATGCCATTGTCTGATGTTGCAAGGACAGCTTGTCAAGAAATAGTGTTATCTGGATACAGGATGGAGAAGGGGATATGTATGCATGTCCAGGTGACCATTTAGGATAAGGGCAAAAACAAAATATGAGGACATGATATATATATATATATCTCCAAGTCCCTTAAGATGCAATTTATCAATTCTCCACAAGGCAGTACAAAGAACATAACAGTCATGCAATATGATTTTTTGCAATTACAAGTTTGCATACCGTAGCCGATTCAACAGGAAATGCTCCATCACCATCAATGCAAATGTACTTGGTCTGTAAATGGTAGAAAATGAGACTTCTGAATGGTTTATCATGATAGTTTGCTGCAGTCAGAAAAATAAAACTAGTACGGAACTACAGTAGCATAAATAGCAAACAATACTAATGTGTTTAGAAAAGTAGAGAAAAGAACAATCACATGGACATGATAGTGAGTCCACAGAACATACATATAAATGTGGTGAATAGATATAACATGCTCAATGAATAGTAGAATACTAATGTTTTTAGAAAAGTAGAGAAAAGAACAATAACATGGACATGATAGTGAGTCCACAGAACATACATATAAATGTGGTGAATAGATATAACATGCTCAATGAATAGTACAATACTGAGAAAGGTGTAAGGTGAAAGCTGCTGATGAGGAACAACACCATCAACTGGTTGATTTTTAAGCAAGAGAAAGTAACTATTCAGAAAGTAATGAAGGCATGTTGAAGGTTTGTGAAATTCTATTCAGTCAAAATAACAAACAAACCAAAGCCCCAAACTTCTTCTAGATATGTAGCAGATACTTCCCTAAATGGTTGAAACTATGAAATAGTTGCTAAGATAATAATGTATTATAGTAGGATATTCTTTTACAAGAGTATTTGTATGCATGTACAAACTTGATTAATACATTGCCAACATTTCATGGATGCTACATGGGAAGAGCTTGGTTGTTCTTGAAAGATGATAAAGACAAAAATGATTATATTTTATATCATCTATTGAAAATCAAATGCAAGTAATAAAATTAAAATTATATTTTATATCATTTTATTCATTTACAATCTGGCTATCAGCGGACTGCATGCGCAGTCCAAGCTTTTAAGGCCAATACGAAGTACTTCAGTCGAACTAGAGAACCAAGGTCATAACTCCTCTCTCATAATTATTGCTCTTTTTCTCGCCACTGCAGTTTCTCATCGTCTATCTTACTGAATTCTCACTGCATCCCTCTTCCCCTCTCGCTGAAGCCCTACACAATAGCTCACTGATCAACATGGACAAAATCATGATGCCTGCTCTTTGGCTCGGCCTCTCACCATGATTCACAGTTTCTATATTCAGACTAGCTAAAAGTTGGATCCTCCAAGAACCCAATCTCCTACTTACATAAGCTGCTCCCCAGAAATCCAATTCTATAGATTATCTACGGAGCTCATGAAAATAACTTCAAAGTTTTCTAAGAATGTAAAAGTTTCTATAACATAAATGTACCTGCATATTGAATATCCACATCTTTAACATATGCTGTCGACTAGGATACGTTCAAGCCAACTGAATTGGATTAGCATTTTTATTTTTTTATCTTTTGAGAAGAAATTACTGGTTGAATACTGTAAATATTGATATAACTATATATTCATTATTCCAACTACAAAAATTCACTCAGCATCTTTTCCATCAAGCCACTGTATCGAGAGAGCAGAAAAAAAATTCTACTGATTCTAGAATCATGATTAATAAGGTCATTTAGTCTCATATTAGTTGAGGAGTATGAGAACGAAGGGTTCATAAGTTCGTCAAATCTCTCTTATCTCTAGAGATTTGTTTTAGAGCTCACATGCTCTGAAAATGATAAAACCGTATGAGTACGAGAACCTATGGGCCCGTGGTTAAACTAGCAATACCAAATAATTAGGAGGTCTTTTAACAAATATGAGAATTTTCTCAATATAAAATTTGCATTCGATTAAATAGCAAACTCAAAACATCAAATTCGGAGAATATGCGGTGATAAAAAAAAATCCCTTGTATGACTTGGGTGTGTAGGGAAAAAATTGTCTGGAAGGCATTCCAAACTGCCTTAAATTGTCACCATTTTGAATCAGTTTAGCAATTCTTACAGCAAGAGTGCCTATGGAAAACATCTAATTTAGTCTTTTTCCTTCTGTTTAGAAAACTTAAGATTGGTAAATCCATGTGCGTCGATTAATTTAACTTAAAGAGCAGCGTCTTCTATGTTGCGGTAAAAACTCAACAATAAAAATTAAATCTGATTTGGTTCATAAAATAAAAATAACAATAATTAGAAATCACCTGGAATCATAAGGAATAATTTCATGCATTTGTGCAGGTTCATGTTTGAATCCATTCTCCAAGAATAGGACTGGTATTCTTCCGTTGCAAGCACAACCATAGGAGTTGACTTAGTATCACGAGCAAAGAAGAATTGAGGAAGATTGTAAAAAATTTTAGAGGAGATTTTCTAAAGAAAAAAAATCTTAAAAGCTAGAAGAAGGGACTCTTCCACACCTAAACCAAGCAATAGATCCTCGAGCAATAATTATCCAAATGACTATGTGTAATCATAGCAATAAATCTAATTAAAACATCAAATAAATAAAAAAAATCGATATAATTAAATAATTAAAAATAAATAAATAGATATAACATAAACAAAAGAAATTTTGAGATTTATTTTTAAAAATAAAATCTCTAGCAATTCCCCATGAAGCTTAAAATTTCTAATAAATATAATTATTAAAATATAAAATGTTTATTGAAACAAATTGCTCGAATGCTCATATTATGCAATGGGAGTATGATACTTTAAAGAAAACAGAGTGAACTAGATCTTGAATTATGTTCTTTTTAGTCCATTTTTCAACAACCTCTTTTTAGTCCATTTTTCAACAACCACACACAATATTGATATATGTATTATGGTGTTACGCATTTTTGGACATGCATTATGCCTTGATTATTCATGAGAATTTCTAGGGATTGCCTAAGACCTTCGTTGTGGTCACATACAATCACACTCTTGTTTAGGAGAGTTTGGATGTGTGTACAATTAGATCTTACAAAAAATAACCTTTTTAAGGGCTATGTTATTTCTATATCTCTACAAAGGAAGTCAAGAATCATATGGGTTGGAGTTAAACTCTAGCACTAATGTCATTTTCATATTTTATTTTTTAATATGCTCCTCGGCTAACTAATAAACTTGTTTTGAGGTTGAGATTCTACTAGTGGAAGACCCATTATAAGCTAACCTATCCCTTTCGATGATATTAGGATAATAATACTTTCTATATATGCCTATATAAAAGAGATAATTGATAATGAATACACTATATATATAAATATATTTCATAAGCATGATCTTAATGATAAACAAATTCAATTTGCTTCGATGATGAGATAATAAATAAAATAATAAATATCATCAATTTTATGTATTTACTCCATGTTTCTAATATTATAAAAGACAACACATTAATTACATATTCTAATTTTATTTCACTTATTTTACTTCACAACAGCAGGTTTAAAGTTACAAACAAAAGTCTGATGTATTATGATTATCATTCACTCTCTATTCATATTAATATGTTTTTTGTAAAGAAGAAATAATTACCACTCTTGGAAGTAATATTTTATGATTAGTATTTCATATGCAGTTTAATATAAATTTTGCTAGTAATTGCAAAATATTTTCCATACAAGTTTCCAATGAAAGTGTCTATATCTTTATTTTCATAGCCCCCACATTTCAAACGTTAGTAGAAGCATAAAAAAATTTGTTATGACAAATATATTACTTTATACATCATGAGATTAAAAAAGGAGCAAATAAACGTCATAAGATTTGGGTTTCTTTAAAGCATAGCTTTGTATTTAAGCCTCCACTAGACTCATGCTTTTCTGAGAACCTGATTTTGTTCACTTGAATAATATGAAAATGGGTTAAATAATCTTACATGACTAACAATAGTAATTTATTAAATAGTACGTACTAAACATACTATACTTACCAAGAACAAAAAAATAGAACTCTATTCGTCTAATCATACACTAGAAGCTATAAGAAGCATACCAACCAGAATTAAAATAAAAGAAACCAGAGACAATGCATACAATATCATGTCTGTTGGGTTTAGATGTTTTAAAGATTATTTATTAGAACAAATTTAAAATAGTAAAGCTCTGTTCCCTCTTAGCTTAAATAGAAAAGCAAGAGCATTAGCATGTAAGTCCTGGGACAATAACAACTATAAATTAACAGAAAAGTAAGTAATTTAGTTATAAGAATAACGAGTTACTTTAGAGGTTGACAAGTCCAATATGCAATTGTAAGTAATATCAAGATGTTTACAATCTATTTTTTTTATAATGCTAATTCAAGTGTGTCAAGTTGCCCTGGCCCAATAAGTAGGATCAAGAAACAAAATAGAAATACATGGCTCCATGACATGATGTTAGAACATAAATTAGTCAACAACAAAATTACTCAATAACTTCTCCCTCTGCGTAGATGGTTCTCTTTCTTTGGTCGTCGATGTCGCTTGAGCTGATCATGATGACTTCACCATTAGTGGGGCACTTATCAGTCGGGTCCTCGGGGAACTTGATGTCAGGGTGGTCATACTTGACTTTAGAGATCACAAGTTCATAGCTGAAGGCAAAGGAGTTATGCCCCAACCTTGATAATCCCTTCTTGAAGCCCTAAGAAGCCTTATACTTCTCTACCCCACATACTTTGATCTTTGCTTCTCGATCGTCCACCTCCTCCAATTGCTGAGCCATGGCATCAATTGCATGGTAGAGGTTGCCGACTTCCATCTTCAAAGTGAAGTTCTCCTGCCCAAGGTGCTCCACCTCAGCCTCGGCGTCTAGGGTTCGATGGTACTCCTAAGTTGCTGTTGCCTTTGCTACCTCAGTCGCCTTCTGTGCTATCTCCTCTCGCTGTCGCAAGATGGTAGTCTTGGCCTCGAGCTCACACTCCACTTCGCCAACCCTGGTATGGCGTTGGGCTAGCTCCTACTCGACTAGAGACTATGTGACAATTGCATTGTACCGCTCCTTAAGGGATGCCACCTCTTGGAGGAGGCTCCCACCGACAGCCATCGAGTCCTGAGCAAAAAAGGAGATCATCAATTGTTGATGTTGCATCCACCAATCTCAAGTCAAAATAAATTCTAAGCGTAAGGCCGATTAAGAGAAAACAAATACTTATACACACACATGTATATGTATATATATATATATATATATATATATATACACACACATGTATATATATATACATATACATGTATATATATACATATATACAAGAATTCTTGAGAAGTTGAGGAGTTTGTATAATCCGAGGAAACAGGATGCAGAAATAATCGATAAAAGATAATTTTAATTAACAGATGATAAGTTCCTACAAACTAGCAAAAAGAAGGTTAACTTCAAGGAAGGTGTTTGTTGGTCAGTATCACGATAGAAACTAATGCAGACAAAGCAAAATGGAAACAAAGGATTCAGATAATTCCCTTTGATGGTTTTTAAAAACACATATAGACTTTTATCTCCAGAATGAATCTACCATAAGGCATGCTAGCAGCCTTAGCTGCAAGCCTAGCAATATCTCATTAATGTTAGATCAAGCTAGATGGTGAGAAATAACAAATTGCCCCTAGGCAATAGCTTTTACATACTCTTTTAGTGAGATTCAACTACGTACATATTAAATAACCTTCTAATTCAATCTTCAATTCAAACATAAGCTTTGGACTATTTCTGTTTTTCTTTGTCAAACAAAAAAAAGATGTAATCTTATCTTGTTAGGTTGTTAAAACAGGTACATGAGAAAAGAAAAAATGAGTATCATAATTTATCATGAGAAAAAAGTCATTATGTGCAGTAGAAAAACAAACTTCATTCATTATTAGGCAACATCAATAATGTTTTCTCTAAGAAATAAAGGAGAAGGGCTAACAAGCAAAATGAAACAAGTTTGGGAACAAGAAAGGGAGATAAATAAATTCAACGGATGCCAGCACTAAGAAGTACTGAGAGAATATGAGAAAGTAATTCCCCATATCTAGTACTTCTTATAACAATAAAAAATAGATATACAAAATTTCCTATACACAGTCTCAAAATTTCTTTTGTTGATATTTTATCAATTTATTTATTTCCTTTTAATTATTTAATTATGTTTGCTACTTTTCTTTGGTTTCTTTGACGTTTTAATTAGATTTATTGGCTATGATTACTTGGTATAGGTGTGGAAGAGTCCTCTCTTCTCATTTCTAAGATTCTTCTCTCTAAGAAATCTCCTCTTAAGATTTTCCATAATCTTCCTTGTTTCTTCTTTTTCTTTGACCCAAGGAATGAAAAATCATATGCTCCAATATCTTAGCTTTCAAGGACAAAGACAATCACATTATTTACAACAAGGACAAAAAGAAGAGATTTTGAACGGGAACTATACACCCATTAGTTCAAAGTCAAAAGAAATTGGTAGGAAAAGGAACCCCATTTGATGAAATTGGATTTTCATTCTTTAGATTGTTGGGGTAAAATATGAACAATAAAAATTAAATCCAATCCAATTAATAAAATAAAAAACAAAAAGAATTTGAAATCACTTGGAATCACTATCAGTTGTCCTAAAGAATGATTCCACCGCTTCGAGCAGGTTTATAATTGAATCCGTCCCCAAGAATAAGATCGATATTCTTCTATTGAGAGCACGACTATAGAAGATTAACACAGTATCACAAGCAAAAGGAGCAACATCAAATAAAAAGAAGAATCAAGAAATATTTTAAAAAATCTTAGAGGAGATTTCTTCGAGACAAGAATCTTAGAAACAAGAAGAGAAACTCTTTGATAACTAAACCAAGCAACAGATCCTCTTTATATAAAAAAGTTAATGTGCAACTGCTCAAACAATAATCATCCAAATGGGTATGTGTAGTTATAGCCAATAAATCCAATTAAAACATCAAATACATTTAAAAAAATGAACATAATTAAATATAAAAATAAATAAATAGATAAAAGATAAATATTTTTTTTGAAATTCTATTTTTTAAATAAAATTTCTAACCCTCTATACATTCTATGTGATATTTGAAAAAGGCAAGCACAAATACTTATCGTGCCTTCAAAATTACTGCAGTTTATTGCCTCATTTAAAAGAACTGGGGAGAAAGGAAATGCAGAAATATCAAAATTTTACCGGTAGAAGGATCAAATTCCGACCAGACATTCGCCCGAAACTCATGATCGGCGCCAATAATAATCCGCACCCACATCCGCTCCACCTTCCCATTATCATCGGCGGTCAGTATCGACTCCGCGATCCCGGGAACCAGCAGCACGGGATCAAGATTAGGGTCCACAAGCGGCTGCTGCTTCTTCGTCAATCTCAACCACAACTCGATCGACCGTATCAGATCCTCCATCACAACCATCCGCACCGAGACCGGACCAACCAGATTAACCTAAAGGAGTGCAGAAACCTCGAATGAGAAGCGATCTTGCGGAGAAAATTGGGTGTAAGGTTTAGGTTTTGGGGAAGGGAAGAGAAAGGGGAAGGGGATTGAACAGGTCGACTATATGAAATTGATTTGATCTCAGCCGTTGGATCAGTTAGTCCTCGTTGATTCAGGTCGTTATACGTCGCTAACACAACGGCCCTAAGTCGAGCGGTCGCACGACCGTCGGAAATGTCACCGACCGAAGGAGCGACACGAACAAATGAGAGGTGAGGAGGTGACGGAGTTATCTCTAGCAGTCGGTGCAACGACAGCCGCAAGTTGCGGCGGATCAAACACCGGATTCAATTTGGGTCAAGCTCGAGTCCGTATCATGGTCCAATCTTGTAGCTCATGTTGCAAATGATTGATGCCACTGGATCGGATTTGTATGGAAATATATGTGCCTAACTGATCTAAGTTATATTAGATTAGATTACAATCAATCGGATTAAGGTATGTGTTAATTGATTAAAATAAATATTAAGTCGGGTTTGAAATAGAGTCAAATTCGCTAATAATAATAGATGTGGCAATTGAGCTTTATTATGTTACAGCATAATTTTTTCCTTGTTATCAATATTCATGCTTACTGAATTGCTAATTATAATATATTGTTTCTTGTTATATATTTGACTGATTTATTTTCCACCAACCACGTGCGAAGCACGTGTGTAAAAACAGCTAAATGCTTCTGGATCATGTGAGCGCTACATGCCGATGAACATCACGTGTGTAGCACCTGCTCCGGCCGGCCCTCCAATATCCGGTCTGAGTGCGGCATTCCGCCCGACTCGGGTTAGTGAGACTAAACGAAAGCAGCGCGCCGGAGAAGGCCAAGGCATCTAGGTTGCGGTGGGCTTCGAGAACCGACTCCTGCTTGAGGATCTCGATCTTTCACAGAGGCTTCTCCACTGGTGAATCCATAATCTTCGAAATCTTCTCTTTTGGTAGTTCCTGGGGCTTATGTCTGTGTGTGGATGGCGAGATTGGGTGGCTGCGTCTCGTTAGATCTTTCCGAGCGAAAGGTTGGATTTTTCTGGATGGGTTTTGCTTGCTCTTGGTTGGATCATCGTACACCCGTCAAAAAATGAGATTTTTACTGATGATCTTGGGATTTTGGTTGTAGTCGATGATCGATTCGTGATGTTTTCTCTTATTCTTCCTTGTTTTTCGCTTGATTTGAGTACTTTTTTTTTGTTGGTGTTGGCTGATATACACCTTGGAGTGAAGGTGATGGATGATTTGGCCTCTTGTACGTTGGTTAATTATTGTTACAGTGAGGGTGGTAGAGAGGATGAGCAAAATAAAGTGTAAGACCATCGGTCTATGGTGAGATTGCAGTTATCACAGTTGTTAACTGGTGGTTTATGTGGAGTTGTGAGATTGACAAGTATTAAGATGAAAAGTGATAGTAAATTTCCTGTTAACCAGCATTATGTGAATCACTTTATTCAGTAGTTTCTGATGATACGAAAAGAATATATTCGACCTTTATTCATGTCATGGGTGGGAAGGGCTGAGGTTGCTCCCACCCTTTAATAGCTGAAGTGTTGTTCATCCAACATTTTAGTTAGATGGAGCAATACTAAGATCATTAGAGAAATGACTGTGCCACTTATAGTGCAGGACGCTTGGAGTGCTGATTTTGAAAGTAGTTCTTTGGACTTAGAAGTTTTATCAATATTTTTTGGGTAAATCTGACAATTACCATCCTAATTGTGAGTTACATGCCATCCAAATCTCTACTTGTGTTAAGTATTATAATGGTAGCTGATGAATCGTTTAATCTTTAGAAAAACTCTCTAATGGTGTAACATATATATGAATTTGTTCATTGTGACGTTTAAGCAAATAAGTTGGTTGCATTGACCGATGCTAATTCAAACTTAAGTCTAAAACTATCCATGTGGTTGGATTTATTGGTTTTGTATCTACGAGTGGGAGACTTAGCTACCTTTGGTTATAAGGTTCACTTAATCTATACTAAGTAATCTTCTTGCAGAAAGATATACCATCCAATGAAAAGGGGCTAGGATTGCATTGCCCTTGTAGAGAGTTCTCTTAAGATCAAGGAATTCAACAACTATCATGTGACTCACAATTAGAACATTATTTAGACTAGGTTGAGTGAATTTAGCAATGAAAGTAGCAAGCTTATGCAGGGTGAATCTTAGAATCATCATGTACTCAGAATCTTCTGGTAACTTGTGTTTCTATTTTAACAAGGCTTTTTCCTAAAAGGAGGTATTTTCTGTGTTAGGTACAACAATTTAGTTTGCATGTAAGTGTCCATTGAACTGGAATAATCTATATTTCTCATCAAATCTCCTTTGCTGGATTCTGTTGGACTTGTAGGCACCTCCCCATCCATCATCGGAAGTATGCATGTTTGCATGTACCTTCCATCTGAATTCTATCCATAAGGGACATCATGGTTGATGACTTTGCCCAGGGTTTTGGTTTGGCAACTTTCCCCAATCCATCATTTGTCCATGACTTCATTTGTTTTGCACTGGGAGAGGGATCTCAAGTTGGTTGGTTTCCATTTGTTGTTTTTTCTTTCCCTAGCTTTTTTTCTGCTCACTATAATTTTTTTCCAAACGGTAGTATATTGTTGTAATTACTGATCAATGTGGATTTCTGGTCCAAATTTTTTTGCTTGATGTATTAATTTTACAGGGCTTCCAGTGAGACCACTATTATGTTGGTTTTAGGAGTTGTAATTTTCTTCTTGAACTCTTTGTAGAAGGCATTTGCACAATTAGAATGGCAAAAGGATTAATATGGGCAACCACTGAAGACTTGGCAAGGAACCGAGCAAAGGTTTTGTCATTGTACCGTCAGATATTGAGAAGCCTCAACTCCCCAGAACTCCCACTCACCCATGCGGCTCGTCTCGCCAAGAAAGCAGAGGTCCGCAGCATCTTCTTGTTCGGAGCTGAAGAACGTTCTCTCCACAACATTGCTGACCTCATTGATGCTGCTAATTACTCCCTTTCCATCCTTAAGCAGGGCCGCCTCCCATAGTGTACAAATGTCCGTATGAACTCTTGTTTGTCCTCTCACTCTAATCTTTGGAACTGTCTTATGGCTTCATTGTATTATGTCCTTTGAACGAAGTGTTGTGAAACTTGTTAAAATATGCACTTTAGTGAGGATTCTTAAGCTGTAAGTTGATATCATATATGCTTTGTAGCAGATCCATCGGAGTCCGACGAAGTGATCCTGCAGTTCAACATGCAAGAACATTTTTTTTTAAATAAACATAAAACTAAGCAATTTGACTAGATTAAAGTTGAGATTGCTAAAACTGTTTATTCTTTTTGCTGTATCAGTTTCCTGTCTCTGATACTATCATGTCACTCCTGTATTTGTTTCCAAACTATTTTCACAGCTGACATTTTGATGTTTTGTTCAAATACTGCTCTGTGGGCTTGTAGTATTTTATTGTCAATCAATATTTTAATTTGGTGGTGATAAAAGGTCAAAATACATCGCATACAATATAAAGTTTGCTTGTCTTTGGAATCTTTAGCATTTAGCGCCTTTAACTATGCTAACAAATACCTTTGAAGAATATAATACTGATCATATTCTTGATCATTTTTCTGTGCAGTTATTAAGGATTTGAAATATGCTGACACGCATGAGTGGGTTAAAGTTGATAGCTCTTCTGCAATGATAGGAATAACCAGGTATCCTCAGGTGATTTTATTTTCTGGATGAGTTCCATTACTGCCATCTGAATTGTCTCAACAATGTGGGAGACCCTAGCCAAAATATTCTTATATAGTTATTCATATTATGGTTTCATCCGATTAATTTTTCTTCCTACTGCAAAGTGCAAACCTAGTTATTGTTCTGTTGTTATATTAGTTATGTACATTCTTATGCAGCTTCTACGTTTTTTTTCTTTTCATGAATTCTTTGCATTATTCCCTTCCAGGATCACTTGGGTGATGTTGTATATGTTGAATTGCCATAAGTTTCTGGAGCTGTGGCTCAGGGAAAGAATTTTGGTGCAGTTGAAAGTGTGAAGGCAACCAGGAAGGTCAATTCTCCAGTTTCTGGAGAAGCGGTTGAGGTCAACACTGAGCCAAATGGTTCTCCTGGATTGATGAGTTCTTTAGACAAGTTGTTTTCCACCAGTACTTTATTTAAGAGAAACAATGCCTTCACCTAGTTGTCATGTTATTTTTGGGAACCATACACACATTAGTAAGCCAAAATGCCTTTTCCCAGTTTATACAGTCTTTTTGTGTGTCATATACATATAATGCAAGTCCTAATCAAACTAGCTTTACTAACAGTTATTCCATCAGTCTATGTTGTGATAGATATTATCAAGACCTATGTGATAAGGGATGTGAGTCGGAACGGATTATCCGTGGATGAGATTAAATTCCTATTATTACACGTGATGAGGAGTTTGGGTCGGAACGGCTCATCGAGTCCTATCATAATGTGAAGCTACTATTGGATTAAGTTTTATGTACACCAGGAGAATAGATTTGATTCTGTTATGTTTGACCTCAAACCCTTTGGTGAAATTATAATACTCAAAAGTAAAGTGAATAACTAGCTTATAAAAATTTTATTGACATATTATCATTAATTTGAGTTTAAACATGAGTCATGTGGTTTAAACTCATCAAATTAATGGATCAGTTATTTGGGTTGCCTTTCATCACATCATCAGATAAAATCTTGGGCTGTGAAATTGCCTGAAAAATATTTCCTTTGATGTTGATGTGGCATTCAGTGCTTCCCTATTGTTACCAGATTAATATTGACACATAAAAATCCATGCTAAGAAATCAAGCTTCAACATTCCTGGCCAAGAAGTTAAGGAAAGATTAAACCTACCAGAGATTTCCAAGCAAAAGCTCTGTCAAAATTGCCTGAAAACATGAGCCTAACTCACGATATAATTTCTACATGGGTGTTTAATTTCCATTGCAAGTCCAGTAACCATCACCAAGGCTCAGTATTGTAACATAAAAGCCAATGCAGAACTACTGCTGCTAAGTCATCAGTGAGGCATGAAGACTTCCATAGGTGCCATTGGAGCTGACAGCATAAAACTCCCATGACTTATTTATCTCTGATCACATATAAACCACGTAGAGATGGCTTCAGATGCAATTGATGCAAACCTTCAATTCTAACCTTCCTTTTTCATGATTTATAATGAGAAACTCTTTACTATGTTCAAAAACTATACTAGTGGTAGTTTATGTCAGGCATAAAAATCTGGACCTAGAACAATGTCATCAATAACAAGGGGCACCACTACAGCTTGCTGGCTGGAAAAGCAACAGGTGACTTCCTCGACTTCATCTCTACTACCTTTGATAACTTCTTCACTTCTTCCTTCCCAATGTGCCGCGGATGGCTCAGCCAAAGTCCTCCATCAACAACCATCGTAGTCCCGTTGATGTATTTACCTTAAACAATTAGCAAATGAGGACAAATGTGAAATTTTGGCATTACAGTGACAAATAGCAGGCCGATACAAGAAAAACTTCACAAAAATTGTTCAGTGAGTATTAAATAAAACATAAGATAGTCCCTCTCTATTGAGACATCTAGTGCGGTTAGTTCATTATTGCATAAGTGATGTTTCTCAGGTTTGAATCCATGTTTGAGTTTCTGATTAGTTTAATGAAAATTTCTGATTAATTAAAGAAACATAGGATCAAGAACAAGCTAGAAAATAGAACTTTTCAATAACAATCAGACACAATGAGCCCTACCAGTTGCCAGGTTTTGATGGTAGATTTTTGTAGTACTACTAAGCTAGACTTTGCTGTTCAAAAATTGATGTGATAGGATAATGAAGAGCAACACTAGCTAAAGTGACATTGATGACAATATCAACTGAAAATATCTACCTTCGTAAACCCTGTTTACCAACTATTTGTTAACTTATGGTTCATGATGATAAGAATCCAAGGCATTGCACAGTTCATGACACTAGAGTCCAAATTTTAGCCAATGTAGGATGAAAAATAAGGTGTCAGTAAAAAACTGTGTTATTAATAATCAGTAATACTAACAACATCATAATGCATACAAACATATGCACCATATATTCACATCATACTGTGCAGTTCATCAACAAACTGCCAAGTGAACAAAACCACCAAAGATGACTACCATATAATAGAATAAATTAAGCAGATTATCCACATATGATCTGTCAATGACCAAATGTTGGCAAGTCTAGAAAACTTTTCCTAAATGTACCCAAACCTCACCACAAATAGTTCTAAATACTGTCTGGTAAACAGGGACAATTTTCAAGCATCTGATGACCAACACCACCTGATGAAGCACGAATAGATACAAAAGAAAGGTACACGAGGAACTCTGCGACGTAAACAGATGGCTAGCAATACCAGGAGCAAATACAGAATGATTTACACTTCTTATCAAGGATTAGCATGGGCTCATCTTTGATCTGCATCTTTCCAATCCACTGAACCGTTTCATCCAATCTACCCATTCCAATCCAATCTACATTTTTCTAAAGTCTAAGAAGGGTCAATGTACATAGTTTTATGCTTGTATGCAAAAAGCTGACTTTGAAATTTAAACCTTAGTCACCTAGATTGTAATTGAACAATCTTATCCTGGTGCCAAACCTTGTCTTCTCCAATTTACATTCCTTTACTAACATTAAAGCACGATCAAAATCTCATTTTTGATTCTTTGTCAATAGGTGAAAATATACACAGGCTGGTGAAGGGCAAATCGGCAACATAACGTGTATATATATCCTCACACAAGGTTGGAAACCCCATTCTTTCACTAGCCACACCCATTTTCCATCATACACAATGAAGATGGAAGTTCCCCATGATAATTTGCCACAAGGATATTCATGAGATGGCATTTTTTATGCACTTAGAAATAAGAATAACAATATTGGAGGATTTGAAAAAAACAACTTATTATCAGCAACGAGAAAGTTCACAAACCTGCATCAGAAGCCAAATATAGTGCAGCCATTGCGATATCCCATCTCTCCCCCAGCTTATACAGAGGCCTGTATTCCCTAGACTTACTCTGCATTTCTCCTGGTGCAAGCTTCCTCATTCCAGGAGTGTCTCCTATTGGTCCTGGTGCAATACCATTGACCCTTATATCATAGTCAGTTCCCCATTCTAGGGCTAAAGACCTTGTGATACTGTCAACTGCTGCCTAGTGATAATAAAAGGGGCACAAGTTACAGGCAAGTGTACCAAATGCACCAAGAGCTGAAGTTTGTTTAACCATACCTTGGCTGCCGATGCATGGATCTGGTACCAAGCAGCTGTGTAGTGCAAAGTTGCACTTATGTTTAATATAAGGCCACCTGTAGATGGACCTTCTCCTCGTCCTCCCTTCTTCAGATGCTTTAGGGCTTCGTGACACATAGTGAATGTGCCTACTGAATCAATGTCTATCACTGGAAAATTCAAATGAAAGAAGCTTTGATTATTTAGCAGCCAGTATCTGTAAGAAATTCAAACTCAAAGCAATAAGAAACCATAAGCTATTAGAATGTCAATCATATTCAACAACGAATGCATTATGGTAAATGAGTTCTTAGAAGAATTACACGATAAATTTGATTTGTATGTATAAATGTTTGGGCGAAAGTCAGAAATGATCAAATCAAAGTATTGTACCCTCCAACATCCTGCAAGAAACACAGATACCTGTTCTAAAACCATTTGGTGATAAATCTTCTGGTGACACAAGAAAATTGCCTGCTGCCCCATTTACAAGAATATCAAGTTTTCCAAAATGCGTAGTTGTTTCTTCCAGAACCCTGGCTGCATCTTCCTGCTTACGAACATCTCCCTCAAGCCCAATTGCCTGTGATCATATCAAACAAAAAGGTTAGTGTAGTACAGACAATACACATGAGATCCATATTTCGAAAATTCATCAACCAAACTTGTAAGCCAATCGAGTTAACTCGTCAAGATTTCGAGTTGATTTGCTGCCTAACTTGATTTGGTTGAAACTCAGAAACAAACTTGGTTGGAATTAATGAGCTTCTCAAACATAATCTGAGTTATCGAACTCATCTAAGTTAAAAAGGTTAACATCACACTGCTAGTTTCTTAATGAGGACAACATTATCAGGATGGTTGCTGGTTTATTAGGGAGTTTAGTGTATTAGGTTGAAATGATTCTCTGGTTCCATTTTGAGACAAAAAAGGCTGTAATTCTTTTGTTGAGGCTTCAAACCCTCGCCGATGATGCAAGTTAGGACATTCTTGTATATTATTTGAACTTTCTTCTATCTGTGCATAGTCAATCAATT